CGGGCATAGACAAATGCGTACCATTGTTGATTGAGACCCCTAATACGTGAGGAGCAAGTTAGTTCCAACAAGATTTTGTTTACCAAGGTTTGTGCCCCTCGGAAGTTTCGGGCTTTGTGCCCAAATAAATTTCATCAGATTTAAATTATAGAAGTAATGAGAGAGGTGGTTCCTGATGTGTTTTATGCGCGATCCGTCATTCTACACAAGTCACCTGCAAGACATTTTCAGACCATGCAGTGAAAATTTACACGGCAGGATTTGTAACAGCGATGTTACAGTGGATACAAATACCACACAGATTTTTCTAAGGCGTTAACAGCATTTTGTGATAAAACCGGTATATATATAATTTGTCGCGCCGTTTCTATGACAAACACGTCGTAGACAAGCCAATCTCGAGTGTTTTGCTCTTTATTGTGGAGCTTAGTTTGAAAAAAGCAATTTTGTGCAGTGTGCAGCGAATATGAATATGTGCAGCGATGCACACGAGAATAAAATACATCAATAAGCGGCCAGAAATACACCTAATTGGCTGATAGTAATCATTGCGTCAAAACCTGCTTTCCGGCAACAAAACTGAATGTCCTGTGTTTGACTTGGAACATAGTCGTCAGTCAACCGGTATATTGATTAAAAACCTTGTCGGGATGAATGCCACATGTGTTCAATGTGGTTGAGGGCAAATACTTCTAATTGGTTGCAATAATTAGGACCGCCAGCATCCGAATGTGTGAACCGCAACAACATAGCCCCCTTGAAAACGTAACATTTGGTTTGCAGACTGATGTGTGGGTTGTATCCTACTTCAGATAATATCCCGGATAACTTTCATCTATTTTGAACGCTGCTTTCATATTAGGCTATTCGAAATTTTGAAACACGAAGATAAGAACATTGTCTTCCTGCGCGCGATATTATTCTGATAGCACAAGCACATTCATGCGCAAATGGTCCTTCATCGAGGGAATCGGCATTCATGATGCAGAGATTGTCTGGAGCGAAATCGCCGGGTACGTAGACAAGTGTAATCTCGTTTGCAGGCTTACGCAGATGGTGGAAATTTCGGCATTGATATACACGTCTTATAGTAGCGTAATCCAGCGCAACACGAACATGAATAAATTAACAATCCCGTACGATACAACCACACCACAAATGCACGAACATAGAGAATTCTACCGATCTAATCGCATGGAGGTGGATGGTACCAAAGAGGCATGCAAGTGTTATGTGGTTCTCTCGTCACTCCGCATCGCGCATAATGGACGGAAAGGTTCATAACAGAATGTTTGAGACTGCTAAGGAGCATTCGTTCAGGATTGCATCCATGAATACGCAAGAAGTATAATAGGACGTTTTGAAGAGAAGACAGAAATTCAGTTTTGAAAACAAGTTGCAAATGGGAGTTTTAATTTCTTGCCTGTAGTCTGTACGGTAGTTGTTGGTGTTTTCCAATAAACAACTCCGTGCCGAAGGGCTTTCCTTCTTTCACCTGTGGAAGTTTGATCACCAAATGGTTGGGTCATGGGCTGCGGTTTCAGCTCGATTACTTGAAAACAACAACGCTCTATTTAGACCGGAGGTCAGTTGCAATATATTCATCAAAACTAATGTGTACGGTGATATAAGATAGTCTGATTGCTCACAATTACTGCTTGTACAATATGAATTTTAATACTGCTAGTCGAGCATTTGGAGGACATTTGAATTATTTCGTATTGGGTAAGATGTAACTTGGATTTGTGAAATTAAATGTAAACAACTAGGATGCCAGATACTGGATAACGAAAAGGGAAGTTATTTTTCTTGCGACCAATGACCTATTGTTAACGATCGACCATTCTAAACACCATTCCAGATTGCCAGACGGTGAGTTTTTGGAGTTATGTGGCACACTTACGTACTATGATTCCCAATAAAGGAAGGTCTACGGGTCTTCTGCTTCTGAGATGAATTAGCGTTCCTACAAAACGGAATTTTCGTCAAATATTTCACAGCGGATTAGATAACGAATCATGTCTCATAAAAGGAGCGCAGCAGCGACGGCAAAATACTGACATTTGTTTTTGTTGTCACTCCGTTTCTCGAAGGACAAGAACTGCCTTGTAATAGAAAGGACTGTCAAGCATATATCGACGCAAAACAATTAAGTTTATTTTCAAGCAATCTTCATGCCGAGCTGTAATTCTTCTTGAGGGTGGATAATCCAGTGAACTTCAGGAATACAAACCATTCCATGTGCAGGTTTTGAAAGAACCTAAAATTTTCAGCTTGGTGCCCTGTGCTGTTAAGTTAGTAGTTTGGGGCTCAGATTCCTTTTGACGGTTCAAATGATTTCCCTCTTGCTTGTGTAAATTTTGCCCCAACTGCTCAACGTTCCAATTTTTAATTTTTTTAGGCCGTGTAAACCGTACATTTGCGCATTCAATAGGCCCATTTTATTTCAGAATAGAAGAGCGAGGCGCACTATGGTGACAATAATGAATGGTGGTCTTTGGCTTGTTCGCTGAGCTGGGCAATTTGATTGCAAACGTTTCATCACCAATCGAGGTGACATCATCAGTGCGTTATTGTGGAGCGTAGTAGTGCGTAGCGGTGGATTGGTGGTTGTGCGAACCAGCCAACGACCACCATCTACGATACCTGAGCTACCAACATTTTCCTCTATAGAAAAACAATAATGAATACTTAAATCATATTGTAAGATGAAGTCTCGGAATATGTGTTTGATGTGCCTCATTTAGCAGACATACTGAGAGTGTATTTTTAACCACTAAATGAGTCTACATGCGCACTTTTGCAGCTCCCAGTTTTATCTCTTTTAGTTTTACGAAGCAAATGTAGACACGAAAAATGCAAGTGAACTGCGACATTTTGCGTCCATCTTCCTCAAATGCATGAGCTCTTTCCTAATCACTCAGTTGTAAACAAATATTTAAAAGCCCCAGATAAACTGATAGGGTTATGACTAGATAGAGCACAAGTTTTATGGATTCGCAAATATTTTCGCGAAAATGGTGATGTTTTAAGAGGAGTCCATTTTAGTTGTCAGGTTGAACGTATCCGACTTACTAAATGCATCACCTTGCTTCTTCATACCCTAAAGTTTCCTCTACAATTGTAAAGCGGTTCAAGTTTTCCCGCAGACTTTATGGTGCCGCAAATCTGCGTTTTCAAATTCAGTTTACATTCTTGAAACGGTAAAAAATGCCTTTTTAAATTATTGGAAATTACTTTATCTGGATATGCTTATTTCATGTGTGTATGATAAGTTTTCATGAGCCCTGAAGTACTCAGAAGTTTAACAAAAAGTAAGTATATTATGTTTGTTTTCGTAGATAGAAATGATTTATCATCAATATACCTACAAAACACCCTCAAGAAGCCTA